GGCAGCTTACAACTTTACGTAATAAAAACAGGATACAAAATCAAAATAAAGTCACTTTAATAACTAACCTCAAAGACTAAAAATCGAGAATTACAGGAAACAGTGCAGCTGTGTGCAATTAATCTCCTTCAAACTCTGAATGCATAATATTTTGTTTTAGAAATTTGATCTGAGCACATTTTACTACAAAGCTAGATAAACCTTGACTCCTGGTGTCAACATCCATGCTGTTTTCTTGATATTTCCTCCTGCCTTTTTCTGATTTTTTTTTTAAAACTTCCCAGTCTAGACAACAGCACTGGAATTTTTTAGAGCAGAGGTGTCAAACTGCCGGCCCGCAGGCCGGATGCGTCATGGCGAAACCGTGCCCACCCCATTGCTGGCAATGGAAAAAAAGTTGTGATACGTCGCAACATGTCACGTGACGTTGTGAGTTTGACACCCCTGGTTTAGAGGACTTCCATCAAAGTATTAATCAGGCCCAACCCTGCTTAGCTTCTGGGATTAGCCAAGGTTAGCTATGTACAGTACTAATCCTTCTACAGCAAGCACATCATAATGACTTTGCACAACTGATACAAACTATATAATTTATGTTTGTGTCATGATGTCACAATGTACACCTGATATCACTGGGTTTTTTTTACCACAAGGCGATCAGCCTAACCAGAAGGCAGCTTATACTAAACAACTTCTGGAGACAGTCTCCAAGATTAGTTGGTTTGCGGCAGGATACTTATGTAATGAGTGCATAAAATTGTTAAAGTGGCACCTTTCAATTATTTTGGATTTTGATTACATGTTCCTTAACCTAAGACTGCTAACTGCACAGATAAAAAGATAGTGGGAAGGCAAAGATATCTCTAGTATTTGAATTCCAGTTGGATACATCAGTCCCATAATTTCTACATCCAAAGCAGGGTATATACAGATAGTCCTTGTTTTGTGATCAGTTGCTTAGCAAAAATTTGAAGTTACGACGGACCTCCCCAGGGATACTTACAGCCCAGTTCTGATGCCCATCCCATGGTCACATGACTGAATCTCAGGCACTCAAGAACTGGTCCACTTTTATGGCTGTTTACAGTGTGCCATAGTCACATGATGGTGTTTTATAATAGTTTTGCCCCAAACCATCATTTTTGTTTTTCAGAAAAACAGGCCCATACTGAACCGTTGGTCATAAAATCAGGTCGGTTACAGAGGTCACCCAGTTTATGACCACCACCACTTATGCCTGTGATGGGCAGTCTCCATTTCAGTTGTAAGTCAAGGACTACCTAAATGCAATTCTCATTTTGTTGTCTTTCCTCCATAATTGTTTTAACATTGAACATTTAATGTAACTAAGGGCCATTGCCCTGTAAATGGGTCAACTATGATTTAATTCAGGGTGGACAATTAATTTTCCCAAGAGGACCTGAGAAACTAGGATTGTTGTGGAAGGCTGTCACCACTACCCCCCCCCCGACCCTGATGCACTCACCCCCACCACTGCCCTGCCTCTTCTGCCGTGGGTTGGACAGGGACGGCCTGCAGGCCGGATGTGGCCCACGAACTGTAAAATCCCCAGATCCGATTTAATTCCTATTACTGTATAATTATTCAATTGGCAGGAGTCACACAACAAAGAACAAACTAAGACAAAACCAATGAAACCACATTCTGGTTTACAACGATTTCATAACCTCATAAAAGCCAACCAAGCTTGGTTAAACAAGCAACAGCAGCGTTTGCCCATGGTGCTAAGCCACAAATCATGGTTTGCAACAACCCACAAGGTGCTAAGTCAATAAAGCCATCAAGGCCCCTTGGTGACTTTGAAAGTAATGTGTGAACATTGCCATGCAAGGTACTCACCACTGGATCGGAGGTGGGAGAGGAATCCTCCATGCGGTTCAGCGCAGGCTCCCCCACTGCTAGCCAGCTTGGATCTGGGGAGCCTTTCCAGCTGCTGGCCTCCAAGTTGGGGTCAGAAGACGCAGCTGCTTCCAAGCCAGTGGATTCTTTTAGCAGCCTCGGGCTGGGCCTACGCACTTTCCTTCTTCTCTCTTCCAGATCATCACAGGCAGGCTCTGGAGGGACCTTCTCTGGGGCCACAGCCCTTCCCTCAACTTCCATTTTCTGACAGCCAGCCCCGATCATCACATCTGAATGGGCCAGAGCGATCCGGTCATCCTCCTCCACGGATATGCCCCCTTCATAATGGAGGAGGCTGAGGAAGTCCTCCTGGTTGGCTTCTGAGGAAAGCAATTCTCCACTTCTCTGTCCCTGGACAGATCTCAGGAGATGCTGAGCAGCTGCCCGAAGGCCTTGCCCTGTGGCCACATGGAGTAGAGAAGGGGCACCTTTGTCTGGAGGTCCCTGGAGGTCCTCAGCATGCTCAAGGAGGGGTCGCCTGTCTCCATCTCCTAACCCGTGGCTTTCCTCGCTGTCAGAGGCAGCCAAGAGGTCATCTTCAGAAGTGGGCAACTTGTCATGGAAGCCAGGGTTAAGTTTCTGCAGTTGGGCAAAAAGCTTTAAGAACTCGGCCTGGTCAGCCTCTGGAATCTCCTCTTCCACATCCTTCTCCTCTAGCTCCTTTAGAATTTCACCCTGGTCAACAGCAATCTTGAGGTTACTCTCTACCTCTGTGGAGACCTGGTCTGGTTTGGGTGTCCAGCATATGTTCTCTTCCTGAGCTGAAGCTTTGGCACCCTCCTCCATACCATTCCTGTTGAGGAAACCCAAACACTTAACATTCCTCCAAGTCACAAGAGAAGCCGTCTGCCCCAAGAAGGGAAGTCAATGTAAAACTATGACTGTCTTCATGTATCATACATATTTTTTCATATATATAAATTGTGGGTCTTAATCACTGGAGGTTTTTAAGGAGAGACTGGACAGCCACTTGTTTGAAATGGTATAGGGCAGGGGTAGGCAACCTTGGCTCTTTTATGACTCGTGGACTTCAACTCCCAGAATTCGTGAGCCAGCCATGCTGAGGGAAAAGGGAGAGGTTTCCAAGCTGAGCCATGCTGGCTCAGGAATTCTGGGAGTTGAAGTCCATGAGTCATAAAAGAGCTAAGGTTGCCTACTCCTGGTATAGGGTCTCCTGTTTGAGCAGGGGGCTGGACTAGAAGACCTCCAAGGTCCCTTCCAGTTCTAGTCTATTCTATCTCATTGAGTCGTAATTTGCTTTAACTATGCTTTGTTGGACCAGCTGCAGTGGTTGTTTGCACAATCCATTTATGTTGTCCAATTGTCAATCTCCATGTACTAGAGGTGTGTGTGTGCATGGCGGAGGGGGCATGCGTGTGGATGGATGGAGGAGTCCATCCATCCATCCATCCATCCATCCATCCCAGGGATCCCCAAATCCTGGTCCACAGCCCAGTGCCAGACTGCAGCCCGGGATGCAGAAGTGGTGGGCAAGTGCACAAGTGCACATGTGATGCTGCATTTGTGAAAGCCACGCACGCCCAAGAAACCATCTCCCCTCCCCCTGCCACCGCTGGTCCACTGAGCTGGAAAGGTTAGAGACCACTGATCCATCTCATTTCTACACCATAGCAGGAATACATAGATAAATAATAAATAAAATGTGAAAGAGAGACTTTTTACCTGGACACCTCAGGATCCAAAGAAGTGACATCTTGGGGTTCTAAACATCTTTTGGACTCTCCATCCCCATCCAGGCCAATCCTGATCTCTTCTGCTCTGAGGTAATTGGACCCTGAATCCAGGTCTGGAAGCTTCTGGAGGGCCTGGTTGTCATCAGGAGAGGTGGGCAGTTGTTGGATAATGGAAGCATCTTCTCCAGAATCAACAGAAGCCTCAATCTCATCTCCCAAATCCAGGGGGGGAGGCACTACAGATTCTGAGGGGATCCCAAACCCCTCAGTTGTATCCTTCTTAACCTCCATGCTACTGTCCATTGTGATCGCTCCTGCAGGTCGCGACAACAATGACCCTACACTTGGAAACAAAATGGGAGTGTGTAATCTGGAACTCAGGTAGAATCAGGAGTTTCACTTCATTCCTTTTCTCACAAGGCTTCAACTTCCAGGAGGGGGGGAGGTCTCAGGGTAGTTGAGCACAGGTAGTCCTCAACTTACGACCACAATTCAGCCCAAAATTTCTGTTGCTAAGCAAAACAGTTGTTAAGTGAGTTTTCCCCCCACAGTTGTTAAGTGAATCCCTGCAGTTGTTAAATTAGAAACATAGTTGTTAAGTGAATCCAGCTTCCCCATTGACTTTGCTTGTCAGAAGATTGCAAAAGGTGATCACATGACCCTGGGACACTGCAACCGTCATAAACATGAGTCAGTTGCCAAGCATTTGAATGTTGATTACATGACCATGGGGATGCTGCAACAGCTGTGTGAAAAACAGTCATAAGTCACTTTTTTCAGTGCTATTGTAACTTTAAATGGTCACTAAATGAACTGTTGTAAGTCAAGGATTACCTGTACTTCAAAGGAAGGGCTTAAACTGCTCAGGTAAGAGACCACAGGCACGGACCACGAGGCAGGCTATTTCTGAACATGATCTAGCACTTTTCAGAACACTAAAACCATATCCAAAAATAGCTTAGTTCACCAATGTGGAGAAAAAGCATGGTAGAGTTTTTCATATTAAAAGGTTTGCATCATAGTTAGGGAAAACATGAGGATAAGCCCACAGCAATGCACAAATCCCAAATACAGGCAATCCCCAGGATAAGGAGAATCCCTAGGTATGAACAGGCTGCCTATTACAGGTGATCCTTATGGATCAGAATTCCATTGCTTCATGTTCAGTGAGCCGTGCTTAATTTTACCTTTTTGCCACAGTGAATCAGGCTAGATCAGGGGTAGGCAACCTTGGCTCTTTTATGACTCATGGATTTCAACTCCCAGAATTCCTGAGCCAGCCATGCTGAGGGGAAAGGGAGAGTTTCCAAGCTGAGCCATGCTGGCTCAGGAATTCTGAGAGTTGAAGTCCACGAGTCATAAAAGAGCCAAGGTTGCCTACCCCTGGGCTAGACAGTCAGTTGTCTGAGATGGTATAGGTCAGGGCTCTTCAAACTTGGCCTTTTTATAACTTGTGGACTTCAACTCCCAGAATTCCTCAGCCAGCGTGCCTGGTATAGATTCTCCTGCTTGAGCAGGGGGCTGGACTAGAAGACCTCCAAGGTCCCTTCCAGCTCTATTCTATTCTAAGTTGTGTGTTTTTAATATATAGCTTGGTTTTCAGCAGTTCCTGAAAGCATCAGATGGCTTCAACACTTTGTCAGCTTGAGGAAAGATAACAAGGTCCATCATTTTTAGTAACAGGCTGTCCATTTGTAATTACGAGTTCCAATTTACGTACAGATTTGGGTTAAAGCCAAAGTTAGGAACCAAATTCCTCCTTAACCTGTAGCTTAAAGCTGCCAACTAAGTGCCTGGTCCATTTCTGGACTATTAACAATAGTGTAATCTGATTTTAAAAAAGCAGCAGGTGAACTTGTAATGTTGCAGTAAGATAAATTTTGTAATTTATCTGCAAAAGGCCGTGGGATTTGAGATTAATTACAAAAAAAATAGGCTTTTTAGGCTCATCCTCAGAAAACAATTTCTAGTCCTGATAAGGTTGAATTTTCCCAAAATGCAAACAAACAAAAAAAGGAAATGAAAAATGAAACTTCTATAATGTAAGGGGAGGAAGACCATGATATTAAAACACACATACACAAAAGTCAGCCCTAGATAATATACCATATGAACCCCAGCCTACCTTAAATGCATTTGATTAAGGGCAAGATTCACTAAATGCAATCAGGCTTTTTCTAGGTAAACACAGGAAAGATATGCCCTGTTTAAAAAATTGCTAAGTTTTACTGCCATGAGAACGTTCCAGGATGTAGAAAATATGGTGGCAAAAAGATGGATTGAAAACAGGATGGCTACTTTCCAAACAGGCATACATAGACTCAATCTCCAAGGCCATCATCCTAGGCAAAGTGCACTGACGCTACACAGCAATTGCACTAAAACACAACAACACCAAGAAATTCTGTTCAAAGTCCCAGCCAGCTGAATTCTCTTTCATTCCACCCACTCAATATTTTTTTCAAAACTGTCAATCAACATTCCATGGTTATTTGAGCATGCTCAGTTATCTCTGCTTTAAAAGTTGCCTGCCTGGTTTTATTTTATTTTAATTAAAGAAGTTTTGCTTTCAGTCCTCTTGATTTGAATGAACAGTTTCTCCTTGTTTCTCAATGACCCCGTTTGTAGAGGCAGTGAGGTTTAAAATCCACACAAATGCAGCACATATGCTGGGGAGTAGGAATTTTAATGGAAAGACATTAAAAATAACATTATCCTTTCGGGTCCTTTTCATAAAACTTGCTTTGTTAGGATTGTTATACTGCAGTTTTATGCTGTATCTGCTGACAGGATCGATTTTAAAAAGCTAGCAACCAATAATCTGCCTGACACTTATTTGCTTCAAAATAGGGAAGAAATTATGCAATGTCTGTTTTTTTTTAAAACGAAGGAGATACATACAGTGTGGTTTGGTTGCTGAAGACAAGTACCATATAACTGATTTATTGCTGCAGCTAAAGATTAGCTGCGGAAATGCAATGATCGTCCCATATTTAAAGAGGGAAGAGAAAAACAGCTACCAAATACACAGTGTGAAGAGTGAACCATTTTCTGCTGCACCTCATAGGACAGAGAAATTCTTAGCATGTTTACTTGAAAGAAAATCTCTAGGTTTAAAGCCTCTCAATCCTCAAGTCCTCTGCACAAATTATTCTGAATTCTGAATTTATTTTCCACTTTTGTTCAGTCTGATCCAGACTGTTTTCACTACCCCTCTGATATCATTATTTACCTGACGCTCTTCTCTTTTAAACTTACGTATTCATCTCTCTCTCTCTCTCCCTTTAATCCCCCCCATAAATGGGAAAGTTTATAGATCTCGAAAAGAAATAAGCAATTTTAGGAAATCAAGAGCCCGTTTTCAAAACATTCCACTTCAAAAAGTTCCCAATGATCTAGACGGGGGCTTAATAAGTTTCCAACAATATAGATTTTTTTTAAAGAATAAAACTGAATCTGCACATTGTAGAAAACCTTCCCCCCCTCTCTTTTTGGGGTAGGTGGGTGGGTGGGTGCAAAACTTAAAACGAAAGCATCCGCTTGGACAAACTTACTTCTAAGAAAACTTTGGTTCTCAAGTTTGAAGAGAAAGATGGACCCTTTGTGAGTTGCAAGTTCTTCGGAGTCCCTTGCTGGCCGGCATCCGACTCTCAGCCAGGATTAGGCCCGCAGACTGCGGATTAAAGCTGAACATATATAAAAATATTCAATCACGTATTTTTCTTCCTGGGGTTCCCTCTCGCTCGCTCGCTCGCTCGCCCGCCCGCTCGCCCGCTCACTCGTTCCCACTAGGATTGAGCAGAGAGGGTTCTGGGAGATGTAGTTTTGTCGTGCCAGTGAGGCTTAGCTTTCCAAAGTAAAAGATGTATCTGCCTACAAATTTTTTTAAAAAGGAGAGTTTGCCTAGTTTTCATAACGGGATGATCCAGATTTCTGTGTTACTCAGAAGTCTGCAATTTCTTCACCAAGTCACCAAAAAGTATATTTTTTAAAAATGCATTTTTCCCCCCAAAATGAATTTAGTTGTTGCAGAGGTATCTATTTCCTCTTCATCCTGAAGAAATTGGTTTCCTACAAACGTTGCAATCCTGTTTGCTGATGTAATGCAAAACCCTGCTCATATTTCACCTGTTTTCTTTGTCAAATGAAGCAGAGCCTGGAACAGTATGTGTCTGTTGATCAGGTTGCCTTTTGAAGATGTGGATTGAATTGCCTTTAAAAATCTATGATGCTGTTCCGCTTTTTGTCACAGATCCAGAATAAGTAAAATTAGATTCTGAGTGATCTGCTGTTCTCTGGCAACTTATTTGTGTTAGGGTGTATTCTAATTCTATAATATTATTTTATTTATTAAATTTATTGCCCGCCTATCTTACCACAGGGTAACTCTGGGTGGCTTACAGTAAAGCTATTTGCTCAGGGATGTAATGTACTATAGTACAAACGAAAAGTTCTCTCATCTTCTTAGTCCACATTTCCATTTTTCAGATTATAACAGGTCTTTTCCAACTATTTTCTGTGCAATCTTAAGGTTCTGCAACAAAAGAAGGAAGGAAGGAAGGAAGGAAGGAAGGAAGGAAGGAAAGAAGGAAGGAAATAAGTTCACTCAAACACAGCCAATTTTCTGTCACAGAATTTTGCCTTTTGATAAGATATTCTGGGAATTTATTTTTCCTCACAGCCTGAAAAGTTTGAGACCCTTGCCTTAGAATACAAAGCAGGAAAAAAATCTGCTGGGCCACACCGATTTAAAAAAAACAAAATAAGACAGGATTTTTAAAAATCATTTAAACTCACAATATCATCTTATTTAAGAATCAGTTCCCAGATTGAAAAGGGTTCTGGAAGCCATACACGAACAACAAGCTTTTAGATCCTCATCCTTGTGAAGTGAAGAACCCTTGTGCCAGATCATAGGAAGATGGATTCATTATAAAAACTCCACAACTTACAACCATTTGTTTAGCAACTGCTTGAAGTCACAATGGCGCTGAATAAAGTGACAATGATCGGTATTCACAAGTATGACCGCCATAGCATCGCCAAGGTCACATGACCAAACTTCAGACCCTTGGCAACTGGCATGTGTTTATGACGGTTGCAGCATCCTGGGATCATCTGATCACCATTTGTAACTGGACATATTTGACTACCTATTAGGACTGAGGCACCTCTTTGCTTCTGGAGTTTAGCTTGAATAGTTTCAGTTTTCCTTTTTTCAGCTTGTCTAAGAGATGTAATCCTGATGGTGGTTGTCAGCATTTTTGTGTGTTCTGTAATCATGGCTTGTTCCAGTTGCTCCTTGAGGTTATCTAAAGGGTGATATTTGTTTAGCCTGCAGTGAGCATCCATGATAATTAGCCAGTAGGCCCATATCATTTTTCAGGTGCTTTGTTGAACTATTTTCCATCCAATTGTGCAATTTAATGGAGGTTTATGTCTGACAGTGGTGGACAGGGCATGGTGTCATAAGCAAAAAGAATAGTTATACTCTGTGGAAATTTGCCATGTTCTCTGGGGAATTCTGGGAGTTAAAGTCGGCACATCTTAATGTGGCCAAGGTTGAGAAATGCTTCTATAATTGTATCATTCTTAGATAGTAATTTCCACCAATTTTCAGTCATAGAAACATAGAAAATTGATGGTTGAAAAAGACCTAGTAGTCCATGAAGTCTGTCCTTTGAATTTCTTTTTTTTCTTTTTAATTAATTTATTGTTTTTATATTTTATTTAATTTTTGTCAGATGATGGACATGTGTTTAACCCAAGCATGTTAAAAATGTTTAAACTCCAAAGCACTCCAAGCATGTTTATACTCCAAAACACCTGAAGGCAGGACAGGAAGCAACGGATGGAAACTAATCAAGGAGAGAAGCAACCTAGAACTAGGGAGAAATTTCCTGACAGAATAATTAATCAGTGGAACAACTTGCCTCCAGAAGTTGGGGATTCTCCAACACTGGAGATTTTAAAGAAGAGATCTGACAACCATTGGTCTGAAATGGTATATAGCCATGGTGGCGAACCTATGGCATGCATGCCACAGGTGTCACGCAGAGGCCTCTCTGTGGGCACACACACTGTCGCCCCAGTCTTAGGCCTTCAGCTGGGTTTTATAAAACCTTTTCGCTTTAGGCCTCCGCCACCGTGTGCAAAAAAAAAGGTTCAATCAATCAATCAATTTCAACTTCTCGCGGGGAAAAAAAGATCTCGCAAAGTTGGAATTGATTGATTGAACTTTTTAGTCCCGCCCAGTCTGCCGTTACCACCGAAGCCATGCCCACCCAATGGGCCATGCCCTCCCAATGGGACACGCCCACTCGGCGCCCGACGATACATAAGCGGGTTTTGGGTTGCAGTTTGGGCACTTGGTCTCTAAAAGGTTCGCCATCACTGGTATATAGGGTTTCCTGTTTGAGCAGGGAGTCAGACTAGAAGACCTCCAAGGTCCCTTCCAACTCTGTTATTCGGTTACTGATGACTGACCCACAACCTCCCTTGGAAGTTGGTTCCAAGCTTCCACTACTCTTTCTGTGAAGGAATACTTTTTAACATTACAGTACTTTTGAACTTTCCTCTGGTCAGTTTGAGGTTATGCCTCCATGTTCTTCATTTTTGCTTAATGTTGAAAATACTGCCTTCTTGAACCTTATTCTCACCCTTAATATATTTAAAGTCCTACTGATTACAAGAGATGTGTGGACTATAATTCAACAGCATCTGCCAGCCAACATAATTTTTAAATCAGGAATTTTAAATGAATGGGTTCTAACCTAAAAAAATGTTCAGGTGTGTAAACATCAACCCACAAATTATTCTTTTTGACGGGGGACTGGAAATGTGGAAGTTGCCCAAGTTCCCTAGGCCTGAGTTATAAGTACTACAGTACTAGTAAAGTTTATTTATAATCATTGAGTGGTTTTGAGTGGTCAAAAACCACACTGAAAATTAAAATGAAAGTAAAATTAGAAATAAAAATAGCTGAATCACTTGGAGTCAGGTGGGATGAAGAAAACTAACAATGTAGTTATTTTTGTTGTGTAGAGGGATTAATTTTAGCTGTACAAATTTTCATCTTTGCCAAGGATTGAGTTGTAAACCAAATATCTCTTGGAACACAGAGATTCTATTTTACTCATCTAAGATATAGTGAACTTTTTAAAAATAATGTACAAATAGACTATCATGAAAAATCAGAATAATCTATGATAGGGAAGGAAATGAACTGCACCGGTAGCAGATTCTCTGGTTGTGGCATATCAGAATCTAATAGATTCTAATAGACACTTTTCTGAGCAAATCTACAATATGCCATCAAGATTGGGCTTCAACGACTGCTCCCAGCTGACGAAGCTGGTTGGGGATGATGGGAGTGTCTTCCATTTGGACGTCAACTATAACGAATAATATTTCGTAAGTGCAGGATTCTGTGGGGATTTTTCCCTGGAAGAAAACCTATGAAATATTTGTTCAGGCGGACTGGAGAAGACGGATCTTGGGATGCAGCACGTTTGAGGCGGGCACCCGGTTGGGGAAGGATGATGTAAATTGTCACTGTAATCCGCGCTCGGCGGTCGCAAAAGGAACGGGGAGGAGGCAGGTGAACTACGTTTCCCAGAATGCTCTCTGTTTCTGCGCCGACTCCGTGCGTCTGAAGCCTCCAGAGCCAGCAAGCGGATAGTTTTGGAGGTCGCATGGCTTTGGTTGGGCTGCAGCTGCGGGCTGCCGTCTGTTCCTCGCTCTCCAGCCTTTCATGGTCGCGGCTGACGGTCAGAAACTATTCTGCCAAAAAACCGGGTAAGCCAGGCTGGAAAGGAGCGCCTTGGGCGTCCTCTGTGGTCGGATGGGGGGCATCTAAGAAGAGCCTTGCACCTTTCCCAGCAGATAGAGCAGTGTTTCTCAACCTTGACAATTTTAAGGCATGTGGACTTCAACTCCCAGAATTCCACAGCCAGCAATGCTGGCTGTGGAATTCTGGGAGTTGAAGTCCACATGCCTTAAAATTGTCAAGGTTGAGAAACACTGAGATAAGAGACCCCTTCAGCTCACCGTTTTGTGGTTTCCATAGCCTCCAGGTGTTCCCCAAAGTCCTCCTCTTCCTTTGCTTATTTTCGGTAGATTGCTCTTCTGCATGGAGGTTCCATGTTTGCTGTCACCCCAGCCTTTCATAAGGAAAGCGCCACAGGATTGGTTTAAAAGCGACATGGTTGCCATTGCTTGTAGTTCAGTGTTTCTCAACCTTATCGATTTTAAGATGTGTGGACTTCAACTCCCAGAATTCCCCTGCCAGCATTTTGGCTGAGGAGTTCTGGGAGTTGAAGTCCATACCTCTTAAAGTCACTGAGGTTGAAAAACACTGAGCTAGCCTACCTGATCTGCTTTTAGCCACTACACAAAACTGTCTCTTAGTTGTGTTGTTCTAAGCTTTATGTATTTTATGTATACTACATTGGTGGAAGTTCAGGCAATACACTTAAGCCCAAACTAATCCAAATATAGGTAGTCCTCAACTTACAACTGAGCCCAACGTTTGTAGCTACGTAAGAGATCTGACTTTTGCTCCATTTTGCAACCTCTCTTGCCACAGTTGTTAAGCAAATCACTGCAATTGTTAAGTTAGTAACCTGGTTGTTAAGTGAATCTGCCTTCCCCACTGACTTTACTTGTCAGAAGATTGCAAAAGATGATCACATGACCTGGGGACACTGCAACCCTAACCCTAACCGTTATAAATATGAACCAGTTGCCAAACATCTCAATTTTGATCACGTGACCGCGGGGATGCTGCAACGGTCATAAGTGTGAAAAATAATCATGTCACTTTTTTCAATGCCATTGTAGTTTTGAACGAATGAACTGTTGTAACTCGAGGACTACCTGTATGCAGTATAGCTTGAGGGTTATGTAAACCAGATGACTGTATGTGCAGAAAGTGACTAGTCCTCATGATATATCGTAATATTTGCAGAGTTTGCATCATAGAAAATGCCATCTTCTCTGAGCTGCTTCCTGAAAGTATTTTTCTGGGGCATTAGCCTAAGTTCCTAGAGTGTAAATAAGGAATGTAAAAGCAGCTTTTTTCCATATCCTCAGAGATGCTTTGACTTGCAGAGCGATTCCCTTTTTCCCCCCTACTCTTGAATAACGTGCTCACGTTTTACGCATATGCAAAAGCAGCTTCTGAAATATATATATTTCTTTTTAGCAGGGAAAGGCAAAGTGAAAGGTCTTTCCAAAGAAGAACTGAAAGGCCCTGAAATATGTAAGGACCCAATTAAGCTCACCACTCATGCTATGGGGGTGAACATCTACAAGGAAGGGACCGACGTAGTGCTGAAGCCAGACTCCGAGTATCCTGAATGGTGAGCAGGGCTCCTTTTTGGTTACAATTGTAGGCAAAAGGGGAATGAGATTGGGGCCACAGAATTTTTTTGCTTCTCTTTGCTGTTGTGCTGTTCTGGGTAAATGAAGGACTGACAACCATCCTGATTTATGATGGAAATTTCGGATTTCATTACAATTGTAAATTGAAGATTACCTGGGCCAAATTTCCATTGCTTCTGAATGTCACTTCTTGTTCAGGTTTGAAAACCCTTTGCCAACTGTACATCAAAAGTTGTACTGGGTCCCGATTTCCAGACTCTGCAAGCATTGGCTTTCTTAATAAAGCTTCTAGTCCTTATGGCTGCAAAGACAGACATACCAGCAGGCCAGGACTGAACAATTAAAGTGGATGTTCCAGAATACTTCGGATTAGAGAAACAACAATACAGGTGCTGAGACCAAGATTTCCGTTGCTAAACAAAGTACTTGTTAAGTAAGTTTTGTCCCATTTTACAACCTTTTTTGCCACAGTTGTTAACTGAATCACGGCAGTTGTTAAATGAACTGTGCGTTGTTTAGTAAATCTGGCTGCCTTCATTGACTTTGCTTGTCACAAGCCAGCTGGAAAGGTTACAGATGATCATGTGACCCTGGGACAGTGCAACTGTCATAAATACACACCAGCTGTCAAACACCCGAATTTTGATCATCTGACCTTGGGGATGGTGCAGCGGTCATAAGCGTGAAAACCGGTCATATAACACTTTTTCCGGTGCCTTGCCTGGCTCAGGAATTCTGGGAGTTGAAGTCCACAGGTTGTAAAGGGGCCATAATTGCCCAGCCTTGATCTAGCAGGGGTAGGCAACCTTGGCTCTTTTATGACTCATGGACTTCAACTCCCAGAATTCCTGAGCCAGCCATGCTGAGGGGAAAGGGAGAGGTTTCCAAGCTGAGCCATGCTGGCTCAGGAATTCTGGGAGTTGAAGTCCACGAGTCATAAAAGAGCCAAGGTGGCCTACCCCTGATCTAGAGCCTCACTATCAGTTCTGATGGTCTGCTTTCCAGTTGACTCCATTCTTCCCACTGCTCCTTTGTTTGTAATTTTTTTACTCCATTTGTGCTTGTCTTTCTGCCTCGTGCAAAACTTCCACGCTCACACATTTTCTAAACACCTTTCATTCCCTTCAGGGTGTTATCCTTTCACATATGCTACAACAGTAATATCTGGCCATTATCTTTGAATAAACCAAAATATTTATGTGTGGTGGTTTCCAGATTCAGAATAAAAGAACAGTGACTAAGGAAGGTACAGGTAGCCCTTCACTTACAATCATTCATTTAGTGACCCATTTAAGGTAGCAATAGCACCAGTCCTCGTACTAATGACCATTGCAGCATCCTCACGGTCACCTGATCAAAATTCGGATGCTTGTCCTGGAGTCATGTGATCCCCTTTTGAGATCTTCTGATAAGCAAAGTCAATGGGGAAGCCAGATTCACTTAATTACGTTACTAACTTGACAAATGCAGTGATTTACTTAACAACTGGGGCAAGATAGGTCATAAAACGGGGCAAAACTCAATAACTGCCTTGCTTAGCAATGGAAATTTTGGGCTCAGTTGTGGTCATAAGTCAAGGACCACCTGTGTAGAGCAGAGCTCCCCAACCTTTCCAGCTTGGCGGCCTGGAAGGAAAGGGAACAGCAGGGAAATGTGCGCACACATGGCCCCGCCCCCGCATGGGGGCAGTGCTAGCGTGCACGCGCATGCACAAGCGGGCCACGCCAGGTACGGCACGTGGGCGAGCATCCGCGTGCTGGCGAAACAGGCCACTGGTGCCCACGTGACGCTGGCGGCGGTGTTAGCGTCCCTGCGCATGCACAAATGGGGCTGCTAGCACCTGCGCGGCAGCGCTACTGCAAGTGGGGGAGGGCTCGCCAGCTGTTCCCGGGGCCCAGTGGCCAAGAGGTCATGGCCTGGTACCGGGCCACGGATCATAGGTTGGGGACCCGTGGTATAGAGGTTTGATCACCATTTCAGTCAGTCAGTTTTGTCCCTAGAAAGTTTAATAAACTTTTCAAGATGCTGCTTTACGCTAATTTATTTTATTATGGTTGTTTCCCTCCTTCTCCCTGTTTCCCGATCCCAGGCTTTTCAATATGGATCTAGGGCCCCCTAAGAAGTTGGAAGAACTGGACCCAGACTCTATTCAATACTGGCGTCTGCTCCGGAAAGAGAATACAAAACTAGGAAAAAAGTATTGGAAGACAAAGCCATTTTGAGGCGAATACTAAGACGTGAAACCAAAGCCATCTCAGGAAGGGCTTGGGGTATTAGGAAGTGGGATTCTTTTTTTTTTTAAATTATTCTTATTCTTCAAATAATGACCAATAAAAAGCTCTACTCTCTATGATTCTTAGATTTTTCATTATCTCAAGTTCCATAAGGCCTACTGGTTAAAGATTATAGGAGTACAGGTAGTCCTCGATTTACAACAGCTTGTTTAGTGACCGTTCGAAGTTACAATGACACTGAAAAAAGTGTCTTAGGACCGTTTTTTGACACTTATGTCCGTTGCAGCATCCCCATGGTCACATGATCAAAATTCAGAAGCTTGGCAACTGGTATATATTTAGGATGGTTGTAGTGTCCCAGGGTCATGTGATCATCTTATGCGACTTTCTGACAAGCAAAGTCAATGGGAAAGCCAGATTCACTTAACAACCGTGTTAACTAACTTAACAACTGTGGCAAGAAAAGACGTAAAATGGGACAAAACTCACCAATCATCTCGCTTAGCAACAGAAATTTTGGGCTCAATTGTGCTCATAAGTTGAGGACTTCCTGTATTCCTTGACCTTGGCAACTTTAAGAGAGTGGGATTCTGGGAGTTGAAGTCCATGTATCTTAAAGTTGACACGGTTAAGAAACACTGGGTTGTAGAATCTGAACTCTTAATACATTTGAAATGGCCCTGATGGGTTGATTTGATTTGCATCATGAGAGTTGCAAGCCAGTTGCAGATCAAGATGCGTGTATGTGCACGTGCAAAATTGGGGCCAGAAGGAAGGCTGAGAGAGCAAAATGCCCCTTTCCAAGACCTCTTCAAGTGGTACACTTCTACAAGGGCAGCTTCGAACGGTCACTAAATGAACTGTTGTAAGTTGAGAACTACCTGTAGTGATTGCCAGGATTAGTTTTTTGTTGTTGTTAATTGCGAAGTCGTGTCCGACCCATCGCGACCCCATGGACAACGTTCCTCCAGGCCTTCCTGTCCTCTACCATCTTCAGGAGTCCATTTAAGCTCACGCCTACTGCTTCAGTGACTCCATCCAGCCACCTCATTCTCTGTCGTCCCCTTCTTCTCTTGCCCTCCATCTTTCCCAGCATCAGGCTCTTCTCCAGTGAGTCCTCCCTTCTCATTAGGTGGCCAAAGTATTTTGAGTTTCAACTTCAGGATCTGGCCTTCTAAAGAGCAGTCGGGGTTGATCTCTTCTAGGACTGACCGGTTTGCTCTCATGCATGTTTTTAAACATCCTAGATTAAGTCTGCCATTACCTAACCTCAATGGTTATAAAAGATCAGAATCCACCTTTACAATGGGAAACATTAGTTGTGCATTAATTTCTGTGGCAATTGATTTCATTTCTGCAAAATGAGAACTAAATAATGCAGAAGCTCCCCCCCCCCGTTTGTTTCCTCCTGTATTACGTTCATCTTTTCCTGCAAATCAGGAAGAAACAACGACAGAGATCAATCTTGGGGGTGGGGGTGGGGGTGGCGGTTAGAGCGCTCCCCCCCCGCCGGGGTTCACCATTGCACACGTGCCACGTTCGCACGGAAACCGGAAGGAGGGATTCCGAAAGCGGAAAAAGGGGAGAACGGGTAGGCGTGGCCTGCCGTGGGGCGTGGTTTGGGGAAGGGAAAGAGGGAGGGAGGGAATCAGGTGGTGGAGAGGAGGAGAAAGAGCAGGTGAGAAGAGGAAGGGGGGGTTATTTGGGGAGGGGTAAAGGTTAGGGGGTGTCTGTAAATGTAGAGGAAGTTTAGGGGAGCCTGATCTGGGGGGGGAGGCGGGGTTGTGCAGGAAAGAGGTTGTGGGTCCTCTTGGGGCGGGCGTCCTCTTGGAGAAGGGGAATCGGGGAGGGGGGACTTGGGAGGAAATGGTCCGTCTCGTGTGAAGGGGTGACGCGGGAAAGGGATCGCGGTCTGTTGCTAAAGAGAGGCTGAACACGGGACTGGGGTAGGGCGTGTGTAGGCTTGGCATCGGGGGAGCTGGATCTTGGGAGGAAGTAATGGTGGGAAAGAGAGCGAGGGTCTCCCGGGGGGGACCCAGGAGTAGAGCTGGCTTAGGAAGTGGGTGGTGAGAATATGGTGGGAGCTAGGGGTGGGGGGTGGTGTTGCTTATTGAGCAGGAAGAACTGGAGTCTGTTGGTGGAGGGGAGGGGGGAGGATCTGGTTATGGGGAGGGGTTCAGGATCCTTCCAGAGGAGCAGAAGAGAGCAGGTCTGAAGGAGAAGGTGACCCTGGATAGAGCCACCTGGGGTGGGGGCTGGACAGGTGCAACGAGCCTTCCAGGAGGGAGGGGGGGTTGAATCAGGTGGGGTGTGTTCACGTCCTAGATAGTGTAGCATGGGGGGGGGAGGAGGTAGAAGTAGGAGATAAGGGAGGATGAGAAAGGAAAGAAAAAGGGGAAATTCAGCCAGGTGGAGAGGAAATGTGAAAATCCCTCCCCCCTCTTCAATTCACACTGCAAGGCATTAAAGAGAGGGAAGGCTTTGATGCAAACTGCTGCTGGTAGAAATGGAGGAAGGGGATTGAAGCTGGCTGCTATGACAGAGGGAGGGGGCTGGGTGGGTGAGGGGAGTAATGTGCCATAGGGATCCAGGAAGCTGATGGATCAGGGACAGGAGGTCTACGGCATGACTACTGGAGGGAGAAATCCAGGCTCTGAGGGTGTGTGTATCTATGCTTGCAATAGAGTGGGTGTGGTATCTGCAGAACGGGTGTATTCTGTATCTTCCCCCCATCCTCCTTTTTTTCCCTCCTGCATTCATCTTGCATAGCCATCCCTGGCGAAAGGGACTGCAGAGCCAGTAGTGAACATTCTGGAACGTGGTTGGGATGCATGGGCTGTCCTTCCTGCTCAGTGCAGGAATGAGGGCTTTTTTAAACTGGGGGGGGGGACAGAATTTCACAGCATCACAGCCTTCTGTTCCCCCACCCCTTCCAAAAAAAAACACCTTTCATCCTTTAAATGTATCTCACTCCCCCCCCCTTACACAACTACATCTTCGCACCTGCAGATGGGACTGCAGCTTCACAGTAACATTTGGAAGGTGTGAGAGAGAGCACGGATAGCTGAGGGACCAAGATAATTAAATTTAACTCCTCCTGGTTCCCACTCCTGCATTGACAAACAAAGGATGTTTTGATTGTGGTTCTAGCCTTGTGGAAGTGGAGGGAGGTGCTGAATGGAGACAAAACTGAGATGGAAGCAAACCATTCTTGGTAGGTGGAGGAGAGCTTGGATTAACTGAGATAATTTGTGGGGTGGATGCCCTGGGACTTTTGGTTGAAAAGCTCTGTGGTTATGTTTTATAGGCTTTTTAAGGAGTGAATGCACAGGTGACAGAATACCTAAAATTCCCATAAAAATCATAAGACTTTTCTTCAAAGATTTTTTTTTAAAAAGCTATCAAATTTTAATTAATTGCTTCTGTGGGGCAATAGTCCTTTTAACTTGGAGCAGGCAGACTATGGGCTCCAAGAAGAGTGATTTTAAAACATAAAACAGGAACTGTTCCCCCCCCCTTTTTTTACGGGTTTTTTTTTTTTTTTTTTTTTTTAAGAGGATTGCAAGGGGTGTGATGGT